TATATATATATATATATATATATATATACACATATATATATATATAGTTACATATACCAAATGATTACAGTTCAGCAGAGTAGTATTTTTCAAGTTATTCTCAATATTGCTGATATACAATATACGAACTGCATTCATGGGAAGGAAATGAAAAGCAAGAAAATTCTTCAAATAGAAATAAAACAACTACAAAGGAAAAATACTTTAGAATATAAAACTGAAATTTTACGGGTACCTTGGCCTCCTGTGGTGGTCAAGGCCACCTGTGTGCTAAAGTCTAGGACTCCTGGGGGCACCTGTCTTGCCCATGTGAGAGGCTAGCAGCGGTTGTCACCTGGTGCCCAGAGAGATGCCTGGGATGAGCCTCGGATGGGTTGAGACCCAGTATGGGCTGGGCTTGAAGGCGAGGCACTGCTGTGCATCACGGTCTGGTCTGGGTGCCATCTGGTAACAGGAAGATTTGAAGGAAACAGCCTGGCTGAAGTCCAGGGGCCTGCTAGGAGGTGGCAGTACCCCTTTACCATCCTCACAGCCAGCTGCAGAGCTGGGGGTGCCCACTAAGGGGCAGCAGATGACAGCAGTGTTAGAGGCCCTAGGTGGAGGACAGGACGGCCCAGACCAAGGCCAGGGCTGATACTGAATCCTTCCAACTTGGCTCTGAAAAGCAGTGTCATTGCAGAATTTTGTAACCAGGTGATGGGACAAGGGTGGCCCGACCACGTGGTAGCTGCTGCAGTCTTGGGTGCTGAAGTATGCCCCCCAAGGGGGGGTGTAGGAATATTTTGTTGTGTTTTGTACCAACCCAGTTATATCTTAGCCCTGTCACCACTAGGTTGAAGAAATCAAAGTCTTAATGCACCATGCACAGCCGTGATTATTACTCCTTTTGCTTCTGCCTCAGCAGTGGGATGCAGCATCCCATCCAGATCCATAGATCTTCAGGATTTGGACAGTATGTAGGGAGATTCATGAGGAAGGACTCATCCCAAATGGTTGCAATCAGTGAGAAGCTACTCTGTCTTTTATATTCTTTAGCCAGTCTTTATTTGCTAAATCTATCATCATCATTATTATTCTTATTTTTGTACTGGGGACCTTGTGCTAGTGAGGCAGGTGGCAGAACCACTGAGCTAAATTCCCTGCCCTCTTGTCTTTATTTTTAATTAATCTGATTTAGGGCCAGGAAATAGTTTTCACTCCTCAACTGCCTTTTCCCTTACCCTCTCTGGCCTAGAACCCATCACTCAGGGGTATTCCCAGCAAGAAATATTTTAGAAACCATGCTTCAAATTTAGCAGGCAAAACC